TCTATGATATATCAAATTAAAATTCGAATTAGGAATGACTAGATTTAAAAAAATTGTATTTGAGAGGAATACAAATTTTGTGAAAGAAGTGAGATACTTGATGTAGAAGTTACATCTCACGTGGCTTGCTTAGAAAGAGTGTATGTCCTGAAATTCCTCTCGTTTTAAAGCTAGTACTCAAATTTAATATATGGCAATGGGTTGCTTCTAAACCTCTGCTTTGCTAACTAAATTATATTAATGTCTGTAGAGGTATTGTGTTGCTTGAACTATGTATGAAGAAAGGCAATTATAAAAATTACTATCATATGGATCATGTCTATAACTAAAGGGGAAGGATTATTTGATCGAAGTTGTTTTAGAGGCATTGCCTTGAGAGTTGAAAGCTTCAACTTGCAACTGTCTTATATCGCAAATCCAAACAAAGCAAGATGAAGATTGTATAATGAATTCTGAAGGTCGTGGCACTTTAAAGTTGTGGAGAAATACACATTGATGTAGAACATTCATTCCCAGTCCTCGACAATAAAATTATAACCCTGTGCTGATCAATTATTAAAATATAAATATATTATATTATTTCTGTACACTACTTTATGGGGAAGGAGGAGGGCCTCCAAATTGATGAGCATATCTTGTTATAGTTTCATTTATTACTGAAAAATTGAAATTTATCTTGCTTTTTTTATATTGAAGGGAAAACAAGGGCAAGAGATGCTGCGTTAAATGCCATCCAGTCACCTTTACTAGATATTGGCATAGAAAGGGCAACTGGAATCGTATGGAACATAACTGGTGGAAGTGATTTGACCTTGTTTGAGGTAGCTAGCAATTCCTGGTCCTTTACAGGATTATCTTTACTTTATAGTCGTTTGATCTGAGTACGTACAAGATGCTTTTTTCCCCTTATTCTTTCTTTCGTTCTCCTTTTTTTATTTTGAAATACAATCTACCCCTTTTCCTTTGGAATCTGGGTCATATAACAAGCACTGAAGTTACGATTTTCTGAATAATTGAACCTTGTGACCATGTGCTGAATTCCATCATGATACCTAAATGGGGATTAAAAATTGTGAATTGTATAAGTTTTAAATGATTGAGATGATTGTGAATTGTATAAGTTTTACATGGATGTGATATTAGGCAAGGATTAAAAATCTGAGACTTCAAATATATGTTAAAGACACCCAAGTCCATCTAGTAATCCACTTACTATAATTCTGTAGTCATACTTTACAGGCAAGCTAGCTTGTTTTTGAAGCGACTAAATAATTCTTCGAGGCATATGTTGGCATCCATTTCGTGAGCAAAGAAATAAAATAAGCAACCCTTCGGTTCTGAACTCTGAATGGCTACCTGTTTAACAATCTGCAATCTATTAATTTCGTCATACTCCATGTATTTATTATGGTCTTTTGTATGCTATGGATATAAATATTATCATTTGCAGGTAAATGCTGCAGCTGAAGTTATATATGATCTTGTGGATCCCACTGCTAATTTGATATTTGGAGCAGTAATAGATCCATCACTCAGTGGTCAAGTAAGTTAAGCTGTGCAAACCCTTGAATATCATTTATACCAACAATTATATGTCATGTCAATATTCCTCTTCCTATGGATATGAGTTAGGCAACATTACCACTGTGCAGTGCGTTCAAGACCTAGTATTATCCTTTTCTTTCTAGGAAGCACACACACTTCAAAATATTCGCCATGTACGATTATCGTTTTTTTATAAATTACACTTTTCACTTGAAACATGCTTAAATTGCAGTTTTTACTTCTCATCTAATTTGATAGAATAACTGAAAATTTCAAAAAATGTTTTATCATTCTCTCTCATGGGATTAGTCCTTTTTTTTCCTTTCCTAATATGTTTTCTTAACCACTTAGGATTATTATTAGAGTAAGTAAATAAATAAGGGTCCTCTTGGTTGTATGAACATGTTGAATCCATTCATACATTGTAATACATTTCAGTTAATGTCAATTAGTATTTCGTTCTTTCTTATCTATCCTCCTCCTTCTACACCTAAAATACCACAACTCAAACATAATTTTTAAAATTACACTCTCTTTTGAGAGATGAAATGTGCTACTATGAATGCCATTCTAAAGACATTTGTCCTTTCTTTTACAGCTTTTAATGTCACCGAAAGTTAATTTTGAGCATTCTATTGTTTATTTAGGTCTTCAGAGGATAAAATAAAATGTTAAACTCTCCTATGGCTTATGAACTTAAAACATTGATTTTCTCTTTTAAGATTTGTGCTTTTATGTTAATTTTATGCGACATATATTTTTTAATACTCATACTGTTCTATCATTTTTTAAATTTGGCATTTAATAGGTAAGCATAACACTAATTGCAACTGGATTCAAGCGTCAAGAGGAAAGTGAAGGGAGGCCTACACAGGTATGACCTCTTCCCTTCGTGCGCCAATTAGCCACCCCTATTCCCTGTGCCTCCTCCCCTCTCTGGTACAATACCTACATGATGGTGATTTTTGTCCAAAATGCAGGGCAGTCAACTCATACAAGGAGAAACCATTGGTATCAATAGGCGGTCTTCCTCTTTCACTGATGGTGGTTTTGTTGAGATCCCTGAATTCTTAAAGAAGAAGGGGCGCTCACGTTATCCAAGAGTTTAATAACCTTTCTCTCAAGTTCTTTAATCCCTCGCATCTCTTTACCAGACAAATCTTAGGGATACAAATCTCATCAGTTTAGGCATTAGGTCCTGTTTTGCCCTCTTTTACATTTTTAGGTCATTTTGTGTATACAGTGTTCAGGAAAGCAAAGCACTTTCCAAACCTTTGTGTTGAGTTGAGGCTTGTTGGAATGTTCTAATAAATTTATTAGTTTGTACTTTTGTACAGAGAATATATCAGTATGGTCAAGGCTTGTTAGTGTTACCAGCAACTCAAGATTACATTCGTGTACATGACAATTCTTGGTTCCGAAGACAAAACCGAGAACGTTTCACTTTCTCAAAGACCAGGGGAAGCTCTCGTAGTCTATCTATAATGGTCTGTTTTTGAGAAATACAGTACATGAAAATAAAATGGATGAGGAAAAAATGTGACCATAAAGGTGTTTGGTGGAAAGGAAATAGATAAAGGATAAGGAGAAATTTTGACAAAAAATAATAGATTGAAAAAGTATTAATAATGAGACTCGCTTTTTTTTTATCTTCATCTTCTCTGTTTATTTTCTACTAAATTATCAAATTAAAATTCATTTTCTGTATTTCTTTTCTCTTCCAGCCAACCATCAGAAAGGATATTTTTACTGAGAATCGTAGAAGTAAGTTATTCTATTATATTTTAAATATGTTTTCATATAAATTTCTCTTTTTATTTTCCCAATTAATGTTTTAGGATAAATGTGGCATGATAGCATGACTCGTGAAATAGTGTTTATTGTTGATAGAGTAAGACATTGTATAAAATTTGTTACAAAACTTTGTATATTTATTATGAGGATTATGTGATTGATTGACTTGATTCGTTTACAGTGCCGAGTTTTGTAATAAATGAATATTACGAAAATTAATTCTTAGTTATGCATCATGTAATCACGTAAGCCGAAATTAATTACATAAAAGTATGTCGAGTACAACTAATACAATTTGAATATTTAATTTCAGTTTTAAAACTAATTATAAATTTTAAGTCGAAATAGCTTTAAAGAATTTGACGTTGAAATAAAAATATTTATATTAAATTTGGATATGTGTGTATGTGTGTGTATATATATATATATATATATATATATATATATATATATGGTATTTTGAATACAAATTGTAAGAAGTAGTAACTGAAGTAGAGAGATGGAGTGAACGTATATATATGTATGGACAAACAAAGGCATGTAATTGGGAGGATCAGAAAGGTCACTCACAATTAAACAAAAACGAAAGACAGAAAACAAAGTAAAGGAAAAAGGTGATCTCAGTCTTACCATCTCAATTTCACGCATTCATTCAAGTTATGCCTCCTAAACTAGGTTTTGTCACTATAATAAATCTTAATTATCAATATAGCATTTTTTTATTAATATTATTTTTATCTGCTATAAATATCAATCAAGTTTCTATTTTCTTAAAGGTTACAATTGTTGGCATGCTTAAATGAAGCCCTATGATCAAGAATAAAATATTATTTTCTCTGTTTCAATTTTTTTTTCCACTTTATATGATGTTAATGTTGTCACACGAAGACTAAGAAATACATGTTTTAACACAAACATTAAGGAATATCATAAAAATTATTATGTACCTTCTTTTTCTATTTTTTTTAATTAATTATTAGACATTTACTCCCACTAACTCGGAAAAAAATGTTGAAATAATGATATCATATGATTACTGTTTTATTTCTCTATCCTCCACTTTAATCTATTATGAAATTTATGAAATTGACAGAAGAAGTTGCCATTGATCACAATATTAAAAAATTATTTCTCCCTTTTAAACTTAGGGGAAAAAACTACAAATATATTTTCTGGCACCGGAAGACTGAGTACCTCTCTCATCAAAAGCATGTCAGAACACAAGTGTATTTTGGAATGAAAAAGGAAAAAGGAAAAAGGAATTTTGATTTACAATTGTTATAGAAATTAGGGTTAAATATGTTTTTAGTCCCTAAATTATTGACCGTTTTTGGTTTTCGTCCCTCTTCCAAAGGTACAATTTAGTCCTCAAAAGTTCGTTTTAGTCAAAAAACGAACGTTTTGAGGACTAAAACGAGGACTAAAAACAAAATTTTGAGGACTAAAACGAACGTTTTTTTAAAGAACGAGGACCAAATTGTACCTTACTTTGGAAGAGGGACGAATAGTTTAGGGACTAAAAACATATTTAACCCTATAAATTATAACTTTTGTATTTCTGAAGAAAAAATATTTCTCAAGAAAAATAGAGTGAAAAGTAAGGAGAGAAAATGTTATCTGAATGTAAAAGAAGTTTTACTTTCAAAGTACCATTATCGACGAAGAAAATGATAAATATTAGCACCGTGCGAGAAAAAGAGCGGAAAAAAAAAATCAGATAGCTCAACCTGATTGGCTAAAAGAAAGAATCTCGCACAGACACAGGCAAATGCGGATGAACGTCGATCCTCCAAAATTCAATCATAGGAATCGTGTTTTCTTCAGAACAGAGCGTAAGAACGTGAAAAAAATAATCGGAACCTCTATGATTGCAATTTTTTTTCATTTTAGTTTTTGCATTTCGTAATTGTGATTCGGTTTGAATCTCACAGGAGAAGATGGAAAACAGTGAGGAACAGAAGTACGGAGTTCGGAAATTAGAGATCTCAGACAAGAGCAAAGGCTTCATCAAGTTGCTGCAGCAACTCAGCGTTTGCGATTCCGTCTCTGACACAGACTTCGAGAATCGATTTCGAGAGCTCAGTGCCGTTGGAGATGATCACGTTATCGGCGTGATTGAAGACGAGGCTTCTGGGAAGATCATTGCGACGGGGAGCGTGTTTATTGAGAAGAAATTTTTGAGAAATTGCGGCAAAGTTGGGCACATTGAGGACGTTGTTGTGGATTCCAGTGCACGTGGGAAGCATTTGGGAAAGAGTATCATCAGCTTCCTGACAGAGCATGCGCGTTCCATGGGATGCTATAAGGTCATTCTTGATTGCAGCCTCGACAATAAGGCGTTCTACGAGAAATGTGGCTTCCACCACAAATCTATTCAGATGGCTATGTATTTTGCTCACAACTAGTTTGCTACTGTCTCGCCTTCGTTGATGTTGGAGTCGACAAGCCCTGGGAGGCTAATAATGTTGGGGTAATGAAGCTTCTGGACTCTGTGCTTAATTCAATTACGATTATGTTTCATGCCGTGTGATGTGCTTTTTTTTTTCTGAAACGATAAATTTGGTCGCTCAAATTGACTGATGCTAAGTTGGATTGAGTTTGGTATTATCGGTATCTTACGAGGGCTATTTTTAAAAATAAATTTATATTCTTCATGTTGATCTTCGGTTTAAGCTTTCGACATTGCATAACCTTTTAAAAGAGATTACACGTCTAATATTTCTAATGATTTGGTTGCTACGATAATAGTAGTCCATGATATTGTTAGGCTTTCTTAGTAAATTGATAAAATCCTGTTTTAAATAGATCTCTGACGATTTCGGGTTTTCTACGGCTTCGTATTGGATTATACGTTCGTTTTAAACTAGTCAACTGTAGCCAACATAAAACGGGGCTGATCTTTATGACTACCCTGGTAAGGGGTTAAGACTTGGTTATTGTTGTTTTGTGATGTATTTCTTCTTGGACTATTGGTTTTGTAGACTATTGGTAAGGGGTTAAGTCTTGGTTTCAGTCAACTCGGTATTTCTTCTTACTGGAAAACATTGCATGATTGATTACATTATTATTAGTTGTAGAATTAGATTATGATGTATGTTATATTCAGTTGGATTAAGCTGGATATTGCTCTAAAGGTTTTCTATTAAAATTAGAGCTCTACTGGTAGATTCAGAACTGATATAATAGTGTAAAAATTGGAAAGGTATGGAAGCATTAGGGGAATGGTTTTGATTTGACGGATCCATGATTGTTTGTAGTTTTTACTAATTACTGCTATGTTTAGTTCTTGTTAAATAATTCTGAATATGTACATGGTCCGTTGAATTTTGTATGTTTTTCTTGATGTCACTTATGTAACTACTGCCTATTAGGCGTTGCCTATGTTCCTTGTTTCCTATATTTGATGCTATTTTATATGTTGCTGTTGAATTCAATGTGTATGAATGCTACTCAAATGCTATTTGCAGAGTTTAATATCACTATTGTATCTGAGTCATCATATTGTCTGGGATGACATAATTTTGGACACTTCATAGTTTGCTTGCTCCAATCAGTATCAATCGTTTTCTCCTAGTTTTGTCAACATAATTATCAATTTTCATTTTTTCCTGTGCTCTGGTTCTTTACCTTCCCCAACATAAAAGAGACAAAAAGAAGATTTTTTGCCCCTATAATATCAAACCCCGTCCATCTCCTAGCCTCTGAGATTACCCATTCCCTTTTCTTTTTCCTTGTATTGAGAACTCAAAATTTCTCAGGTGGCACAAGTTGGTCCTCAGTTCCAATTCTGATGTTCCTCCCCTCATAGCTAGTTCTTTCACTTGCCGGCAAGCTTGCTTCTATCATCGACCTCTTTCTTATCAAAGGGGGATATGGTAATTAGAAATCTATTAGTCAAAATAAGGTAGCATACAACATTCGATAGATGTGCTACAATGAAATGGAACACAGTATATGAGTTCTGTGTCATGTTTGGTTCATTTAAAAATATTTTAGAACAAACTTGAGGTTAGAAAATGGTACATTTTGGTTCTGCTGAAAATTGGAACCAAGGAGAAAATAACAGAATAGGATGTTCCATTGTTTTGTTAATGCACGTTCTGCTAGTCATTACAATTATTATTATTATAATTTGTGGATACAATCAAACAGTGTACAAATCTTGTTGATAGGGGGTTGAAGGCTCAATTAAAATATATGTGGTGGTTGATATTCCATTAATGAGAATGAGTGTTGCCACTGCCATGTCTCCACTGTCCGCTAATGATTACACCTAAATTACTCATTTCCTTTGGTAGTGACATAGTTTAGAGAAATTATATTAAATTCAACACAATAAGAGGGTAATGGTGATAAACACTTAGTCGGTTTTGCCAAGCTTATCTGATGGAAAAGTGGCTTGCTCGAAAACTAAATGATGGAAGTGGACCAAGACACTATTCACTGATCTGCAAAATTGACACCAATGATGGAACATGACCCAAATGCAACTCATCCTCACTATACCTATAATGCAAACTACTATGATCCCAAAAACTATCATGCAAACTAAAATAACACGAATGATCACGCATGTTGTTGTGAAGAAGAAAGTTTTTTTTTTCACTAAAGGTTTTCAAAATTTTCACAACTATGAATGATAAAATTGTCACAAACAATTTTCCTTTTTTTTTGTGGAGGATTTCTAAATAGAAGCTAATGATGAAAATGTTCTAAGTAGCTCCGAGGAAGGAGATGTGACTCACAAGTGGACAAGTTTAGAAACCAAGTCCTTCCTAGACAAAGTTTCCTTATATTACTTCTACCAAAGTTTCAAAGTAAAAATCTTCCAAAACATTTTTTCCCAATAATGTATGTAGAGTGTTCCTAGTAGCCAAAGAAAGGTTTATCTACTTGCAAACAAGGAAACACCCTATATATATAGGGAAACAAAAATTAAAGGAATAAAAGCAATGTAAGAAGAATAGTATAATACTTCACTAAACTAGGCAAATTCTATTTGAAAGTGCAAGTGACACTTAGAACCCCTTGACACACATTCACTTCTAAGGTGTGTATAATTTTATTACAATGTTTTAGCCAATGAGATAGGATTGTACCAAAGGCATTTTCCCAAGACAGCAAAGCAAAAAGGAAATAAACAAAAGTTTACAATACAATAAAGCAAAATTACACAAATGTTTTGTGATACAAACAACACACAAAAGAAACAATCTCAAGAACTGTCTTGGACTTCTAATCCTCCTTTTTTCTTCACTCCAAAGTGCTTACTCTCTTTGTGCCACTTCAAAATGCCTCTTTGTAGCCTCCTTTGTCCAAGTATACTTGTAGAGAATCTCTATCAAGCTTCTTCCTACCTTTAGGATGCTACTTTGAGAAGTTAGTCAAATTCCAAAAGAAACACATATTCCAAAGATGTAATCCACTCAAGAGGTCAAAGGAATAAAAGCAACAAAAGTACAATTTGAAAAGCTAAACTCAAAGTGAATATAGATGAGACAAGACTGATAGAATTCCAAAAGAAAAGACAAACTAGAAATAAGGCACACAAGGAGATAAGCACTCAAAAGAAAGTCCTAAGAATGGATTAGAAAAACCAAAACAAACTAAGAATGCAAATGATGTTAATGTATTTGGTCTTTTAATGTTTCACAAATGAAGGAACAAAGAATTCAAGGAAGATCCCCACTGGATATGAATTTAACCAAGAAAGGTTATATAAGTGTAAAGGTTTTTCACTTCCAAGAACAAATTCAATTTTTAATTGATTTTACTTTTGTTTTAATTGATTATGTACTGTTGTTCATCAATTTAAATGTGCTGTCACACTTATTTTCAATTATTTCCCCTTCTTTTGGCTTTTTTTTTTTTATCTTTTCAATTTTCTAGAGGGGTATTGTCTTTTCCTATGTATCAATTTCAAACAACAACTAACATATGATGTTTGATTTGAACTTTAAATTTCTCATCATCAAAGGCAAAGAACCAAAATATAAAATAAGAGAATCCTAAGGAATCAAGTAATATTTAGAAAACATCAAGGAGACACAATAGAAACCTTACTCTAAAGAACTTGTTACGAAACTAAGAACAAACAGGAACTCAAAGGCTTAAATATTTTGTAAATTTTAGATTTAATGATGTAAAACTAAAATAAAAAGGTTAAATCAAGAAGTAATGATAATTCAGACTAAACACGACGTTAGACAAAACATCAAGATGATAAAATTCAAAAAAAGACAACACCAAAAATTGCACCATTTAATCGATTAAAGAAATCATCTAATCGATTAATACTACCATAATCCTATTGAACACATGGAAGGTTCAAGAAGAACAAATGTGTTTGAACCAAGATATAAAAACATAAAGAAATGAACATATCACTCAACACAAACGCATGTAGACATGTTAGGCAAGCATGAAACAATAAGGAATTGAATCAAGAACCATGAACGAAACCCATGCTTTTGATGCCAAAAGGATGCAACCTTTGTTACTTATACCAAATGATGGGAAAGTGGTTTGCTCAAAAACTAAATGATAGAATCGGACCAAGACACTCTTCACTTATCTACAAAATTGACACCAATGATGGAACAAACCCCAAAGGATGGAACATGAAGCATATGAAGGAACAAGCTTTGGTGCCAAATGATGGAAACCCATTTCACACAAGTTGAAAGAGACTCCATGGAGATGATGCATGGGATGCAGAAGCATGTAAAGATGAAGAAAAATGGAGTTTGGAGAGTGGTTTGGATGTGTTTCTTTAAGGAGGTTGGGTCAACCCTCAAGGTAAAGGTCTAGGAGAAGTCAAGAAGATAACCTATCCTAGTGAACTTGGAACAAAAGAAAAGTTGCAAAATTTGAAGAATATCTCTATATCATTTCCAAGTTGAATTTACAATGCTTGAGCACTTCCATTTATAGATGGGGGAGTGAACTCAAGTCTTAACAAGAAGAAAGAAAGAAACGGTGAATCTGAAACAGAAAATCTCTAGATCTTTCCTCAATATTGACTAGTGCATGTACCTCTGAAACTAAAGAATTCAAGAATCTTCTTAGTTTCAAATGCATGCACCTTTAGAGGATGTTTGGGCCCACAGGCAATGTTTTAAGATTACTTGAGGTCTAAGGTAGCCCAAAGAACCACTTAGCTGCCCTAGTCACTCAAGAGTCATGTTGGAAAGCCAAAACTGGAGTTATGCAGAACGTTTTAATTGATTATGGTATTACATAATAGATTATATAAGAGAACTACACTCTTTGTTAGATGTTGTTTGTTTTAATCGATGTTTTAATCGATGTTTTAATCGATGTTTTAATCGATTAAGTTATTTATATAAACGATTAATTCGGAGACGGTTCAATCAAAATGGCCAAAATACAAACTCAAATGATATGTAAGTTTGATCCAAATATAAAAAATAGAGAAAAGACTTTTTACACAAAGAGAACGATAATCCAGTACAAAATATACTACTACTAATCATATATTTACAATCAAGAAAAAGGATTGGGTCTTCCTACTGGCCCATGTTGTAGCTCTCTGGATGGGTTTCCATCATTATCTTTTTTTATAGGTGAGGAGGGGAATGAAATGGCAGAGGTAGAGAAAATTTTGGAGTTGTACTTAATGACTAGCTGACACTTGGAGTTAAATATTTGTGGCATGTGCCCATTTTCTATTTTATTTTTATAATATGAATACTCACTATGTCTGACTTTTGAATGTTTTTTTTTCCTCATTTATGCAATTTCGAAGATTAATCATAGTTCATGATCTCAACTTAAAAATAGATGGATGCCTAAGTATGGGCATATTTGTACTTCCAATCCCATATGTGCTAGTAGAAGTATGCTAGTAGTTATGGTGTATAAACCAATTCCAAACCATCAATTTTATGGATTGTAGTTTACATTGCTGTTATGATCGCTTACTATTTAATCTATTTAGTATTTTACCCTTGATACATAATTATATTATCTTGTGCAGAAGCGATATGAACGCATTCCGGTGCTAGGGCAAAGGAAGTCAGACTAATGACCAGTTTGTGAGCCTTTTTCAAGTTTTATTATGTTAATGTAATTTGAAGTGAACGTGAGGAGCTGGAAGCACTTTCTATTTTTTGCACTAAATACCTTATGCTTGTCTCTTTCAGGCTTGTGCATGGTTTCGTTTTCTGGCCTTTGAACCATTGCAGAATTCTGTATTTTTTTAAAAGATTTATCTGGAATCATTGTTATGCTAATTGCAGATTTCAACTTAGCTTATCCTTTGAAAGTTAAACGTGGAAAATCATTGATGCTCATTAAATTTCATAAAATTAACCAATGACTGAACAGCTGCCGATATTAGATTGAATGCTGCTGTTTACGGAGTTTATTGTCACCAATTGATGCAACTAAAAAAAACAAGGAAAAATGATAAGCTAGCTTATAATTGTAAGAGTCAAACTAGCCTTGGATAACTTAGGACATTGCGAGGAGCAGGCTGAGGAAGGCCGACTGGTACATTCCTAATAATCGCAGGTCAGCTGAAGTGTGAACGTAGCAAAATTGATTA